ACTCCCAGAAATCCTGGCCATCAGAGGTGGTGGTGAAGGCTTCTGGGAGTTGTAGTCCAAGAACATCTGGAGGCCCAAGGTTGGGGACCACTGTTATAGGCCTTCCCATTATATTTCTTGTGAGTATTCATTATTTCCTTGCCCATTTTTATAGTGTGACTTCCTCTATTGGTTTCATTGGTAGGTTTAAAACAAATATTATTAGAGCATTAAGAAGGAACCAAGAAAGAACATACAAGTTTTTCTAGTTTGCTCTTTGGACTTAGACATAAGGATAGAGAAGCAATTTCTGCTCTTGGTTAATATAAAGAGTAATAATATGTCTTATGTTCAAGCATCCTGGACAAAAACATACAGTGGACTTCTAATGTCAGGTTGTACCTGAACAATTTTTATGATGTAGGTAATTCAGGAAGGCTGGGGGAACAGTCTATCAGTAGTTAGAATCACTGCTTCAGGCAGAAGGAGAAGTAAATGTTGTCACCCACTGTGCTCTATTAATCCTTTTGAGCAGCATATAGGTCATCTCAGTGGACACCATTTCTGTGCTCTGTGGAAAGTCCCTTTCAATTTAGGCCTGGTCTGCGGTCTGACCACTTTTTCTGTTTGCTGCAGTAGAAGAATGGGACTGGCATTCGTTCAACATATACTGCCTAGCTGGCAGAGAAAGTGTTCTAACATTGGGAAGGTGTAATCTTTTGCCTTTCTTACTCTCTTGCTTGAAGTGAGGGATTCTTTTGAACAAAGAGCTAGTCCTGTCCACATCAGTCCTGTTTTTAAACAAAAGAAAACTAAACACCAACCATGACAATTGCTTTGTGTTTGAGTGAGAAATGGTTAGCTACTGAAAAAAAAAGTTAGGTTCTGGGGGTTTTCTGATTTTGGTATCTCTTTGTGAATGGCAGTGAGCAGACCATTTTGACTACTGACATTGGTTCCATCAATATTCAGGCTGGCTTTGGCTGTTTAAAGCTTGGCAACCTTTTTCCTTCTAGCAATGTAGGCATGATATTGTGAATCATTGAATCATGAAGTTGGAAGGGCCATTGAGTCCAATCTCCTACTCAATGCAGGAATACAAATCAAAGGACACCTGCCAGCTGGTTTTCTAAATTTCTCCTGAATGCCTCCAGTGTTGGAACACTCACTGACCTCTAAAGGTAATTGATTCCATTGCCAGACTGCTCTAACAGTTAGGAGGTTTTTCCTGGTATTCTGCTGAAATCTGTCTTCCTGTAACTTGAGTCCATTGTTGTGTGTCCTGCACTCTGAGATGATTGAGAACAGATACTGCCCCTCCTCTGTATGAGAGCTTTTCAAGTATTTGAAAAGTGCTGTAGCATCTCCCTTCAGTCTTCTTTTCTTAAGGCTAAACATTCCAAGTTCTTTCAGTCTTGCCTCATAGGGCTTGGTTTCCAGCCCCCTAGTCATCTTTGTTGCCCTCCTCTGAACTTGTTCCAATTTGTCAACATCTGCCTTGAAGTGCTTGTCCACAATCTATGTGAAGTCATTTTATAAACATTTTGAATCACAGCTACAGATTTGGTGCTGTATGAGGCTATTTTTTTGATATTTTGAATCACAGCTACTGAATGGAAGTTTTAAGTATACTTACACCAAACACACAAACAGCTGAATCCTAGAACTTCCCAGTAGACCAATTTGTCAACATCTGTCTTGAAGTGCTTGCCCACAATCTATGTGAAGTCATTTTATAAACATTTTGAATCACAGCTACAGATTTGGTGCTGTATGAGGCTATTTTTTTGATATTTTGAATCACAGCTACTGAATGGAAGTTTTAAGTATACTTACACCAAACACACAAACAGCTGAATCCTAGAACTTCCCAGTAGATGTACTATGGTTGTTGGGTGTGAGCCAGAACTAACAACAGCTGGTATGTCTCTGCAGTCCCTCTGTGCCAAAATACTTTGAAGGGCTATTTTGGACTTCATGAAATAGTGAAGTAAAGGGGATGCAACATGTACAAGATGGAGAAACATACAAACCATTTAACCTCTCAGGTTTACTCATGTAACTAAAGTCACTGTTGGTAGTGTTCTGCTTTGCTCACAGTGAAAGTTTCCTCTTCCCCTTATTCTGACTTTGAGGTTTTCACATTAAATAACAAAACAAAAATAGTCCTGAAAAGTTTTTCTTAATTTGGTTGGGCTAGATCTGGTTGTGGGCTACATTTCACAAAAAATGTGGTAGGTAAAAAAATTTTAGCTTTGCAAGTGCACCTTCTTCTTTTTCCTTCCATAAATAAAACATTTTCACCACACCATGTCTGCTGAGATGGTTCAGAAACTTCAGACCAACACTTTTAGTCCTCGAAGTGCGAATGAATTAGGAGTCTCTGAAGGAGTAAATCAGAAGTGCTCTCTCTCTCTCTCTCTCTCTCTCTCTCTCTCTTTCTCTCTCTCTCAAAAGAGAGAGAGAGAGGGAGGGAGGGAGGAGTTTTACACCATAGCTAAGCTGAAACTGACTTTTTAAAAAAGTACTTCTCTGCATTATGTAGCTACACATGCCTATTATAAAAAGGAGTGGGTTTAAGGTAAGATAGCCTCTTGTATAAGCAGATTCTCAAGTGTTCACTAGGATTTTCTCCCTTTTCTTTCTCTGCACCAGACGGAACCCTCTTCACTTCCACCTCATTGCAGATGCCATTGCAAAGCAGATCCTGGCAACCCTTTTCCAGACTTGGATGGTTCCAGCAGTGCGCATAGACTTCTATGATGCTGATGAGCTGAAGGTAAAATAAAATCAAACGGGATCCTAAGTCTGCCTTAATTTCCATTCTTCTTTGTTCAGAACTGAGAGTATCAAATTGAATGTCAAAAATACACCCAGAGGTTGATTCAGGAATACATAATAAACATATAAGCTCAGTGGGAGCCAGAGTTTTTTTGGAGCCAGACGTTTGGAATTTGATTCTCCACTGCACCTCCTCAACAAGAGCTGGACTCCATGATCCATAGGGCCCCTTCCAGCTCTTCAGTATAAAATGATGATTATGATTATAACATTTTCAGCTAACCAAAACTGTATTGCTCCAGTTCTTTTGCTTATCGTTATATGAGCATGAATTATCTATTCCACGATGTGTGGTCAGCATTACGCACCTGGTTCTTTGGAATATGGGTTTGAAGAGGCTCAAATCCCTAGTTTCCATGAAAAATATTTAATGTTCCATGGAAATTATTTCTGCCTCTACAATATAAATTTGCATGATGGGATAATTACCCGATTAATTGCTCCCTCCCATGACGATCATGTAATGTTGGAAGAATTTGTATTTATTAGTCAAATGCTACTCTGCTGACCCATTTCCCAAATTCTCCCTGCAATGTACATAGGCTTTTTAAGACACCGTGGTTGAAATCCAGTAATAAAAGGTTATGAGATGTAAGTCTGAGGATGTCATCAGCCGTGACTGTAGTTTGGTATCTAAGTTTCATCTCAACATCTTCCAGTTTCCTAGGATCCTTTAGAATGCCTTTGGTCCTGCAGAAGCATTTGAGGATAGCAGAACAGGGTGGGAAATACTGCATATAAATATAGGACATATTCTGTGTAACAATATATTAAATATACATATAGCAGACAGGAGTAGCACTTGCCAAAATGTCCGTTAATATATTTCAGTATTTCTGCCAACCCCTGGCTGCTTTTCATTAGAAATAAGTAACAGTAAAAAAACTACTTCTTCACTGTATTTACTTGTATTTACACTCACCTCCTTTAAAAAGTCTCACACATTTAAATTAATTTTATTTCCAAAAATACTAGAAACACCACCTAGGAGAACAGCTTTAAACTCGAAACTCACCAGTATGTTGGAAGTACAGCATGAATGTCATCAGGAGACTTGGAAATGTTTTTAAAACCTGGCACCTGAAGGCAGTGGCAGTAATTTGTATGGCATATCAAATCAGTGCCATGCTAAACTTGATTAAAATCTTGTAAAAAGGCAAAAACAAAATTTAGCAAATTGCTGTAGTAATTAAGGAAATTCCAAACTACTCCACATGTTAGAAGAAAGCAAAAACAGAGTGTAATAGGAAGGAATGGCAAAGGGGAAGGATTATCTGTTAGAAGATGCACTCACTTTAAGAAAAATATTGGGATGTTTTCCATATTAAGCAGCAGGCAAATATTGACCTAGATGCATCTTCCTGCTGAGGGCGGCATTTTGGGAAGGGGGGTATTTATAGATGTGTGCATCATTATTTAAAACATGGAATGCCAACACTGAGACTACTTAATTAATGCTAGGAGCTTCAGGAGTCTATTTCTCTCTCTGTGTCTCTCTTTCTTTCTTTCTTTCTCTCTCTCTTTTCTTACCAACTGTTCGGGACCAGCATTTCTTTGGATTCTTTAGGCAGTGGTGTTTGTTTCTTTTCTTATTTTTTCCTCTTTTTGTGGCTGTACTGTTAACCTTCTTCTCCGAAGGTCTCACACTGGCCTATCAGAATGATTTTCCAGCCAGACAATAGTCTTTGTTTGGTTTCATAAATAGGGGAGGCACACCCAGATCATCTTATAAATCCCAAATGTGTCATTCCACTGTCCCTCAGATTGTCCAAAAAGTGAACCCCAGATCTCTTCATTACATGAGGTGGCCCGCAGAGAGTCCTCCAGATATGATTGGGTTCACATTCTCATCAACCCCAAACAGTTCAGCTGGCAGTGAACAGTGTTGGAAATAATAATTAGACAAAACTGGGAATCACAAGTTTCCCCCTGGCCTTCAATGTATTTGGTGTGGTTTATTCAACATAATATAAACAAAACTGGGAATCACAAGTTTCCCCCTTTCCTTCAGTGTATTTGGTGTGGTTTATTCAACATAATAGTAATTGTGTTTTGAGGAAAATAACTCATGACACAAAGTGGATATACAAATGAGTTTGCTAATATATACGTACTTTAGGCATCAGGAAATAACATTGTATATCTTCAAAAACCAACTGAAAACATGGATGTTCGTACAGGCCTTCCCTCCAGTTAGTCCTTGATTACCTCTTCCTTTCTTCTTTCCTTTTGCCATCTTGAACGATCTATTAATTTATTAGCGGATGTTACAATTTTGTGTGTGTGTGTGTGTATTTGTATGTTTTTATTTATGTATCTAGAAGCCCTAGAGTGGTGACCAGATGGGCGGGGTATAAATAAAATAAATAAATAAATAATATAGAGATGTACTGTATATGCCATGCCCTTCTTCTTACAGGATGCACTGGAAGCTTAGTGAAAGTGAAGTTCTTGTTGTTTTGGATATCATGATGTTAAAAAAACATTCTCATTGCCTTAACATGCATCAAGCCACCTCATTTTTTGGTGGAACAGGTATTCAGCACTTCCCAGCCCCGACTCCTCTGCAGCCACCCACTAAGAGACAGTGTTGCCTCGACTGGGTGCCTGCCAGAGGACACTGTTCATGCCCATCTCTATCCATGAAAGTGGTGATATACCCAGTATTTAAGAATTAACTATTTTGTTAATCCAGTAAACAGCAAGTGATTGATACTGTAGGACCTAAATGGCTTGCTTTTAATAACAGTATCCACTTTTATGTTTTTGATTACAATTCCCATTGTCACAGAATCATAAAATAATTAAGTTGGAAGGGGCCTATAAGGTCATCAGGTCCAACGCCCGGTCAATGCAGGAATCCGAATCAAAGCAGATCTGACAATTTGTTGTCCAGTTTTCTGTTGAATGCCTCCAGCATTGGAATGCTCATGACTTTCCGAGGTAATTGGTTCCATTGTCATACTACTCTAATAGTTAAGAAGTGTTTCCTGATATTCAGCCTAAACTTTGTTTCCTGTAGCTTGGGTCCATTGTTCCATGGCCTGGACTCTGGGATAAACCTAAACCTTGTTTCCTGTAGCTTGGGTTCATTGTTCCATGGCCTGGACTCTGGGATAATCTAGGACAGATCCTGCCCCTCCTCTGTATGGACTACTTTTCAAGTATTTGAAAAGTTAAATTTGATTCTGCTGTTTTCAGCCCAGTGCTCAAGCCTATCAAGATCTTTTTGAATTTTGTTCCTATCTTCCAAGACATTACCTGTTCCACCCAATTTTGTGTCATCTACAAATTTGATAAGTATTCCCTGCACTCCTTCATCCAAGTCATTAATAAAAATGTTTAGCCCACATGAACCGAAGACTGATCCTTGGGTTTAAATTTGATTCTGTTGTTTTCTGCCCAGTGCTCAAGCCTATCAAGATCTTTTTGAATTTTGTTCCTATCTTCCAAGACATTACCTGTTCCACCCAATTTTGTGTCATCTACAAATTTGATAAGTATTCCCTGCACTCCTTCATCCAAGTCATTAATAAAAATGTTTAGCCCACATGAACCGAAGACTGATCCTTGGGTTAGCCTACTTGTTCTTCCTCCCAGTTTGAGAGGGAGCCACTTATAAACATTCTTTAAGTACAATCATGTAGTCAACTGTGTATCTACCTGAGAGTTGTTCTATCTAGCCCACATGTGGTTAGCTTGTTAATCAGAATATAATGGAGTAGTTTGTCAAAGGTTTTGCTGAAGTCAAGATATGTTATGTCTACAGTGTTCCCACCATCTATCAGGGAGGTTACCTAATCAGAAAAAAAAATGAGATAAGATTATTCTGGCAGGATTTGTTCTTGACAAATCTATATTGCCTTCAAGTTATTACTGCATTGTTTTCAGAGTGATTGCAGAGTGACTGCTTTACAATCTGCTCAAGAATTTTCCCTGGGATTGATGTCAGGCTGACTGTTTGTGTCCGTTTTATGTAAGGTATTTGGAATACCTGTATGGCCCTCTTGTCCAAACTAGTTTTCTCAACTCAAAGCATGTGGGAACATAATTATACAGGAGGCCAACACAATATAACAGACAGAACAAACAGCTAAAATGATCTGTAAATCCCTATGGGTTGCTGTCGAGCAATTTATTATTATGGTCAAAGATCAGCAAATTATAGTTATTACAGCAATTATAAACAATTCTAAAAGGACAATATCACTAAGAACGAACTTTAAATATCCATAACTGCAATGTTTATATGACAATCCAGTTTAAAAAGTGAACTCTAAGCTGCGCTGTTAGATAAAACATCCAGCGATATAGATACATAAACTTTGATATCCCAAATTTTTTATCATTTGGCTACATGCGATAGCAGATGCACAAAACAGTGCTAAATTGTAAGTGACTTGGGGATTCCAGTCTGGTTTCCTGTGTAAGATAAGAACATCAAGGTCATTATGAAGGTGATGTCTTGGCGTTTTGGCTAAGATAGAGTGTAGTATCAGTTGCTGCAGAATGGGGAAAGTAAAAGCCTTCTCACCAAGTTTTAAAGAGCTCTAATCTGCATTCTTCAAGTCAATATAAAATAGTTAAGTGGTATCAGTTTAAAAGGCCAAGGAGGGGAATGTGTCAGAGATTCTTAGAGGTCAAACATGACAGACATGTGTAGGACAATGCTGAGATCTGTGGAAAAATTATACTGAAGTGTTGCAGCTCAGCCCTTCTTACTCAAGGTGATACAGCATGAAGATATGCTGTGGCCAATTGATATTCACAATTTACTGGTGTCACATTCCCTCCTTGTACCCTTGAAACAAAATCACATTGTCAGATTCTGAAGATGGTTCTCTCCCTACACTTCCAGAAGTAAAAGAACAAAAGAAACATCCTAAGTTAATTGCAGTCACAAACTGCAGTCAGCCTCCATATACACAGAAGACACAG